AGATTTACCAATCGAAAACGGCAAAGTTAACGATTTTGAAAGTAAATTTTGCTTAGATCAGATTTAAGGAGAGTCTATGGCAGAGTCTACGAATAATAATCAAGGGTTTTGTTTTTAATCTAAGACTAATTTTTAGAATTCCGAATATGTGTTTGTGTCTAATGATCTAGTTTAAAAATATGACACAGATAATACGACTTTTGATGTGATATGTGGAGCGTATGAGGTTTTAATAGTTGTCTTATGGATCAATTTTTTTTACTCTAAGGCTCTTATTTTCAGATCTACGAATTGTATCAAGTGATCTCGTCAAGAGATATGGTACAGGATAATATGACTTGTAACTTGATACATAAGGAGTGTAAGGCTTCAATAATTGTGCAATGGGTCCATTTTTTTACTCTAAGGCTCTAATTTCAAGATCTCTGAACACGTTATTGTATCTACATACTAATTTCGTTTAGAAATATGACACTGGATATTATAACTTCGGATAATACGTATTTAGATTTGATATATGGACACTCCCCATGTTTATAATAATTGTCCAATTAGACTATTTTGTTACTTCGAAGTTCTTATTTAAGAACTATCAATAAAGAATATAATATATATAGTTCAAGATATAGAGTCTTTAAGTAAACCTATCTGATTTGGTTGATTTAAGTGATAGTTAACCTCATGTGGAATATCTTTCACTTTCTCCAGAATAGTCTTAGGTATGGTTTCCATTTTTCAATGCAATGTGTTATACTTTCTGCTTGGCAGTGCTGTCGAAAACTTCGAAATCGATTGGAAATAAACTTAATGTAATAAATTTATAATTGAAATTTCGATTAAATTTTTATATCTATATAACATGTAGTGTAAAATACAAATTTATTGAAATTTTTAGCAGGGAATAACTTACAGTATAGCATCCATCTGACGTAGCTTTCGATGACTTCTCGGCATAAAGTTAACAATAGCTTAGCACAAGGTCACAAAAAAAATCTGTTGATAATCTAACTCCAAATTTATTATCGTTAAAAGAAGATATTGCTATTTTAATCTAGAACACTTAAAGCTGTGGATAAACTACATAATGTCTTTTGACTCATTCAATCAAAGTCAAATGTAGATAGTAGATCCATTATCTGATAATCATAGGATCTTCGACCAGATTAGATAGGCGGTTTCACGTTCTGTAATATGTTCGTGTCAGTATTAATTAATTTCCTCTTTGAACGATGTGTTAGTGCAATGTCTAATTAAGAAATCGATTTTTAGTCTGATCTATTTATGTTGGAAATATATCATTTTTAATACTAAGGCCTTTGCCTTTAATTTGCTAACAATTTATATAATGGGTACATATGCAATTTAACACCCTTTTTCACTACCTCTCTATTAAATATAATAGTTTCTATTAAGTAAAATAGTCACCATTATCATAACTGACAATAAAATCATATATAATATAAAATAATTATTTCAATAATAAATGTAAATAATTGGGCGGTACATATAATTATTTTGTTTATTATGAATAAAAAATATCATGCCCAGACTTTTTTATTGATTAATGGAAATTTTTATTATCTCGATAGTATAAACTTATTAAAAAATATTAAAATTATCAATTGAAGATAATAAATTTTGAACTGATAACAGACAACGTGTTAAACAGGGCTCATTATCAGAGGCATTATTCGAGTAGTTCTACTTGATACGAGTATGATTAAAATGAGATCAAAGATTCTTGATTAATTATTTTTATAATTTATTTTAAAATTAATTTACTAACAAAATAGTGAATCAACTTACAATAAGTAACATTATATTTTGTATTTATCACAGCTTCTCTTTAGGTATTTAAATCCGGCTGTTATCAGTGAGTTGCGGTACTGTGCTTCACTGCTCACGCTTACCATATCACCCAGAGGAAAGCCTTTGCTTACGAGTATATGTTCTTCAACAATGAAATTGAATGAATCATTAATTTAGTTGTGAAAAAAATCGGCCACATTTTTCACTTATAGTTTTTTCGGTAATTGAACCGGATTTATATTTCTTTTAGATAAGTTCCGACTATGAAAAAAATAGTTTAAAATTGCTATATATACGTATATATCAATTGGGTGTTTCAATAACCAGTTTTCGGATAATGGATCTTAAACTATTGCACAATAATATTATAATTATAAGAGCTCTACATCCCAATTTAAGTCCATCTCTATAATCTGTCTATAATCCATGTCGAAGGATCTAAACTGATAAAACTGATCAACAGGCAAAAACGATCGAAAAAACTTATTTCCCTTCTCAGTCACAAAAGCACTAAGATTCCTTGAGAACATGACCTCAAATCACTCAGTGTTGGTTCAAATTTTCTAATATCTGAAAGATCAAGTTTTTTATTTTTTGGAACGTATTTAAATGATGAGTGACTAAGATTTACTATCATTTTTGCTTTCGCCTTTACTGAAACAGTGCTATCAAAGACTGCCATGGCCATGAGTTCTTTTGCTAAGTACTATAAATGAATTGGTCATTTTCATCAAAACTGCGTTCAATATTTCAATGAAATAGCTTTTTTAATGAGTTGGAGATCTTGATTAACTGCTCAGTTGGAGATCCTAGGGGGTGCGCCCATTCAAAAGTTTATTTTTATCTTTCCCCTTATAACGTGATACACTCTAATATATCAGTCTGTGAGTCCATGTTTTAAGACAAATTGCGATCTCAGTTTTTGAGATAGGTGAATGAGTTTTCTTCACACAGATTTTGTCAGAAAAAAACTATTTCATCATTTCCAGAAACAAACGAGTGAAGTTTTGTAGAAAAATTTACCAATACAGCTTTAAAAGATTATATTTTAGTTACATATAAACTAATCAATTGAAACTTATATTACATATATATCATTATATAAGGGACATAGTAAATTTATAACGAGAAATTAAGCGGAAACTATTGGTTCTTTTAAAATTTTGATTCCCGCTAAACTATTTGGTTTCAAGTTTTCTATTTCAAAATAAAAATAGTCAATATTCCCATACATTAGACTTAAATTCTTCAGAATAGTTTAAAGTTTACAAATTTAATCTGCTTTACTACTCATCCCAGCTGTCTTACTGCCTCCACTCTTAAATTTAATATTATTACTTTTAATGTTATAGAGATTAGAAAGCTTATAGATGTAACTTCCAAAATCGTTTTGATTACCGAAGTAAGACAGATACATATAATAAATTTAAATATTTTTCAATTTCAATTCCGGTATTAGTCTGAATTGCTTCAGCGACATTTTCCATATTCCCAACTAATATTCTAAGAAGGAGTCCTTTATAGCTCTATAAGTAGTTTATATACAGATATAGAATTAACCTTCGTTAGTAATCTAATTATTATATAGGTGCTAGAATCATACCTCCAAATAATTGTAAATAAATTTTTCGCAAATACTTCAAAGTCAATTTTAATGTGGACTCATCTTATTATAGTAATAACTTTCTAAACTTTCAATTTTCTTCCACATGATTAAAATTATAAATGATATAATATATTTTTTTTTGTGGCAAGGAGGAGTGGTATGCCTACGATCACAATTCGGTGTCCCGGAAGGAGAGTACCCGACTCGCACGTTCTAAACCACTCCCTTGTTCTACCCCGGGACTACATTAGTATTACTTCCCTATTAGTCACTTATTCCATCGGTGTGATTTAGTCCAGGCCCCGGTACTGTTGTAGATGATTAATCTTACCCTTCATCTGGGTGTGATACAGCTGCTTACTTCAACTGTCTTCTATCAGAGTCTACTTAAATGACATATATATTAATATATATATATACTTCATATTATTATGTATTAATATATGTTAATATGAACTATATTATATATTATTATGACCTATAAACTAATATCAATTTTTGCTTATAGTAATAATAATATAGTAATTGTTTAATGTAATAAATAAAATTATGCCTACCGCATCAACAGATCCATATTTTGTGCTTTTGGCAAACTGAAACTACTATAATAAACCGATTTGCATATCTAATGTTTTACTGAGGCCCTACGATTCTTATGAAGTTAAAGAATGACGATGAACAGAAGTGGTGTTGAAGGTTAATGTTTATGCTTCCATCTAACTTCAGAACTTTAAACTTTAACATTATTGAACTCAAATTTCAAGCTGTAGAGCAATATTTAAAATACTAGATGAATATATCTTAACCATTGTGAACAAGTCTAGAGTCCAGAGGTTGTAGCTAGTTATAGTTTTAAGATGTAAGTAAATTATATAAATCCTCTAATAATTGAAAAGAATATTACAATTATCATAACAGTAATTAAAAATGACACATTTGGTAGCATTACTTATTTCAGTAGTATATTTTTAAATATTTGTGTGAAATTCTCCCAAAAGCAACACAAACAATCAGCCATAGTTGCAGTTCTCCACTCCATTGGCACCCAATCTCTATAAAACTAAGATTAAGACTAAATAAAGTAATTTATTTTTTTTTGCGGTAGATGGAGAGCAACGAAAGCCACATTATGAAACTGTTACTAAACATCGAAATTTAAGAGCTTTAGTATTAAAATTTCTAAAACTGTCTTAGCTAAGATTACTTAACTTTAGTTATAGCTTTAAATTACGAGGCAATGATTCAGGAGTTAAATAACAGAACTATGTACATATATGATATGATTTCTTAGCCTAGTTAAAGCGTAGTGTGGGGTAGTGATAAGCCCCCCAGCAATTATAGAGTAAAAGTGCGTAATAGCACTAACTCAAGAACAAGAAGAAGAAGAGGAAGAACAGAACTATCTCATATTGTTTAATTATAATAGTTATCATGTTAACATGTAAAAGTATATTTCAAATTTTAATTTCATGTATTTTTTTTATGAAAAAAGGAGTATTAATTTCAGTTTATAGCAACACGTACATAAGATTAAACTGTTATTACTTAAATTTGTAATTAATTTAATTATAAATTATGATTAACCGCAGTAGCTATTTCTATATTAACATTACTACTTCTATTGTTAACATAACATTTTTACTTTCTTAACAGCAACATCTTGCGTTGCCAACTTTTTACATACTACCCATATGGCTACAGCTGTCAAATGAATTTTGACAGTTCGTAATTTTTTTTGTCATTGAACCCCAAAAACTATTTTGGGATATATAAATTTTTTATAAATGTTTTATTAAAAGAAAATTTTGGCCAAATTTTACATAAATTATAAAACGAAAGTGTAAGCAGTGCAATAAATGAATCCCATGTAAGTAAAATGTTGCTTTTCAGTCAAATATTAGAATATAAACATTCTGGAGTGTTTTTAGCATTGGTCAAGCAGACTTTCATGCAGCGACTGCGGCCACTGCAGCTGCAGCAGCCTCATCAAATACATGTCCATTACATCAAACAACAATGGATTCAGTTGAATCAGAAACATCAGAAGGAGGGCAATGGTCATCCGAAGAATGTGGTTATATGGATGGTGATTCACAGCGTGCAAATAATCAAAGCGATATCGTACCAACATATCCACAATTTGGTTGGGTCGATATAACGAAAGACTTTTTTGATTCATGTAATGAACTGAGTTTAGGTGAGCTAGCGCAAGATATAATGTTTGGTCTGCTTGAAGCCATGTCAGCTATCGAAATGATGGATCCAAAAATGGACATGGGCATGGGCTATAATAAAAATGATAAACCTGCATACACTTTCGAAACCGCAGTAGAGGTAAATAAATATTTTTATTTTTTTGCATTTTACAATTAAGCAAATATTAATGTTTTGTTTTTTAGGCTGGAGTTTTAAAATTAGAAAATTTGACTGTAGAAGAATATTTAGGTGTCTTTGATTCACTATTTGCTTGTATTGTATCTTGGTTAGAAGGTAACTCAATGGACCAAGTGCTACTCACATGTCTATACTTACATGCGCCAGCTAAGATAAAGGACAAATCATTACGTAGCTTTTGCTATGCAGTACGAAATCTTGTATTAATTATTAAAAAAATTGTTGTGATAAGCAGCGTAAATGAAGAAGAAGATTTTCAATATTATGGTAATTTAGCCATAATGTCAGCGGAGGAGTCATTACCGTATGCGGTAACAACACAAATTAAAGAAGCTGAAGACGAATTATTGCGTCAAAATAAAAATTCAGCACAACCTGAAGATATCATGCCAGTGGTGCATCGTTTAAGGTATATGCGACATTTTTATCATGCAATATATCTATTCGACTTTGCAACATCAACTTCACCGGATGAAGCCATCATTAACGAAATCTATAAAAATTTAAATGCAACATTAGAGCTGGTACCGCAAATAAAACGCACTATTGACAAAGGCACACCACCAGAGGAAGACTGTAACTAAGACTGTGTTTTTTTTTTTGTTGATAATAAATTTTATATATTAAACTTTTTACAGCTGATCTTCCAAATCCGATGGGATACTCATCGCGTATACATAATCGTAGTCAACCGCCAACCTTTCCACGTACAGTCAAAATACGTGATCGACATTCGAGTATACAATTTTATGAAGAAGTAGCGCTACACTTGAAACACGCCTGCAAAGTAATCAAAATGCGCGATTATTATACAGTTTTGGTAAGCTGTAATCAATATTGAGGTTCAGTGTTGTTATTTTAAACGTATGGCTTGGAAATATTTTGTTTAAAATAATTTTTCTTATTTCCTTTTTATCGCAGAATTTTTTCATAGACTTTAGTCGGAGATATGGAAATTGTATACTTTCACGCAGTATTCTACAGGCATTATTTATGTCACACGATCGTCTTATATTCGGCACAATACCCATGAAAGACTTTCTTTGGGATTCAGTGCGAGCATTCAATTCTCCACCCATACTAAATCCAAAACACGCATTAGCCACAGATCGCAAAATACAAATGCATTTGGAAACTTTCTTTCGTTATTGTGCCTCCATGTCAACTTTTGTGCAATTCATACGCATTTGCGGTTACAACAGAGCAAGGCAACGTGAGAAGCTATCAAGATTTTTAGAGAGTTTTGAGTCAATACAAGTAGAGGCTGCACGTTTGGACTCGCATTTGAGCGTGTTAGCTAGTGAAAAGGCGGCCGAGGGGAATGAACCACATGCCACAGCACTCAAGTATAGCGCACAATTCTCAACTTGGGTACATTACAACTGC